AAAGAACTAGGAAGGGTCGGGATTCAATCTTTGTTATGGTCGATAGGTTCTCAAAAATGGCGCACTTTATTCCTTGTCATAAGACTGATGACGCGTCTAATGTGGCTGATTTGTTCTTTAGAGAAGTGGTTAGGCTGCACGGAATACCTAGAACTATAGTCTCTAACCGCGATGCTAAGTTCTTAGTTATTTTTGGAAAACGCTTTTGTCAAAACTAGGTACTAAGTTATGTTTTTCCACCACTTGCCACCCACAGACCGACGGCCAAATGGAGGTCGTTAATAGAACCTTGTCCGCATTGTTTCGTTCTGTTATTAAAAATAACCTTAGGACGTGGGAAGATTGTCTACCACATGTAGAGTTTGCTTATAACTATACTGTTCATTCTAATACATTGTTTTCCCCGTTCCAAATGGTTTACTGTTTTAACCCTCTTACTCCCCTTGATCTCACGCCTTTACCTTTGTCTGAGCGTGTAAGTATGGATGGGAAGAAAAAGGCCGAGCTTGTCAAGCAGTATGAGAAGGCCAAGCAGAACATTGAGAGGAAGACCGAGCTTTACAAGAAACACGCCAATAAGGGCCAGAACCAAAAGATGTTTGAACCAGGCGATCTGGTATGGATCTATTTGAGGAATGACAAGTTTCCGGAGGAAAGAAAGTCCAAGGTATTGCCTCGTATGGATGGTCCCTTTACGGTCATTGAGCAGATCAATGACAACGCCTACAAGATCGACTTACAAGGTAAGTACTTAGTCAGTTCCAGCTTCAACATTTCTGACCTTATTCCCTTTGTCGCAGAGGATCAGACTTGAGGACAAGTCCTTTTCAAGAGGGGGAGGATGATACGATTATGGACCCGGAGGACGACCCAGACAAAAGAATCGAGGTTCCGGAAGCACACTTGGTCGTATCGGATGGACCCATGACGCGATCTAGGGCTAAGAAGCTAGCGGGAGCGATTCAGGCTTTACTTAACGGGACCAAGATCGGACCAGACGATCCAACATCACCCAAGATCGTGACCGTGCTTATGAACACCGGCTGTAACTAATCTGGTATGGGTGATGGCTTAATACTGTTTTTCCTTACACCCGGGTTTATCCCAATGGGTTTACCGGGTAGGTTTTTAACGAGGTTAAGTCCATTGCCCATCTCTTGACCCAGGTTTGTTTGCGGTCTGGTTCATGGGTCGGTAGCTCAAGAGTCATTTTCGGCTTGGCAGTTCAAGAGTCAGTCAAGGCCAGTCGAAGAGTCAGTCTTTAGTTTATTTATTTCAGTCAAAGACTTCATTAAATTTTCTGTCATTTTCGAGTATGTTTTTTTGACTACTCCGCCTACTATATAAAGGCTTGGACCCCCTTACATTTTTGCCATTCACTTATCAAATAAATATGAGACCTTTCTCCTTTGTTCTCTTTGAACTTTTTCGATTCTTTAGGTGGTTAGCCTCTTGAATAATTTTCGGTTTATCAAGTTCAGTCCATAGAACTTGATGCAGCATTTTTCTGCAAAGTTTAAAGATTTCGTTAGTAGTAATCGGGGCTTAAGGATTTTTGGGATTTCATTTCTCACACCCTAACATCCTTTTACCGGCGATCTCTTTTTATCTTTGTTCCATCTCTTTTGTTTTAAGTTGTTCTCCACGAGTTTGGGCCTAAAGATCTTCGGAATTTATTCTCACGTCTTAGCATCTGCTCCGAGAACAAGTTGGAGTCAAGGATCTATCCGTCCGATACCGACTAAGTGTGTGCCGTTCTTTGGGAGTTTGTATCATTAACAAGCTCTGTTTTGTTGTACTCAGTGATTTGCTTGGGGGTGAGAATCCGTTCTGGTTGTGGCAAAGGAAGCAGAGTAATCTTCCTACCTTAAAACATGAAAGAGTAAGCATTAGCTTTGCCATTGTGCAAAACCTCTCTGTCATATTGCTGTGAGCGCCCGAAGATGATATGAGAGACATCCATAGGAGAAATATCGCAATACGTCGTGTCTTTATAAAAGGAACCGATGGAGAAAGACACTAAAGCTCGTGTTGACACTTGCACTTCAGCCCCAGTTGGCATCCAGAGCAACCAGTAAGGATGGGGACGAGCTTCAACAGGTATTGCAAGTTTGTGTACAACATCTTCAGAAATGACGTTTGAGCAACAATCTGAATCAATGACAAATCGGAAACTTTCCCTTTAACCATGCATGTGGGATGAAACAAGGCCGTACATGCCACACTTCATCTGTTTTTGGGGCCAGACAGTTTCTACGAATCATGAATAAATGTCCGGTATCACCAGTCAATTGAATATCGTCTGTATTATCAAATTGTCTCTTCAGTATCGTAGGTGGGATCACCAAGCATTTCTCTATCCTCTGCTGACAAACCTCAACGTCCAAAAGTAGGACAAGCTGTTTGTCCCTGTCCAGTTTTGCCACAAGAGTAGCATCGAAAAGCATTGGGTCGAGAAGGGCGAGAATCAAAGGAGTTTGGAGAAACATCTTGTGCATGTGAAATCGAACGTGTACCAGAGGTGGTGTCACGTCATGTATCAGGCGTGGCTTCTGTATAAGATGAGATGGGGTTTCTTCGTCGAGAATTCCAAGCATTGGATGATGCGCCGGAAGAGTGAGTTTGTTGCTCCATCACCAAGGCTCGTTGATGTGCTTTGGAAACCGTAACAGGATCAAATTGATTAAGCATGGTCTGCAGTTGTGGTCTTAGACCTGCAATAAATCGTGCAACCAATTGATCTTCTGAATCTTGTAAATTGATGCGAGTTATCATCTGAAAATATTCTTGTACATAGTTGTTAACTATGCGAGAGTTTTGACGAGGTTATGGAACTTTTGAAAAAGCAGACGGTGAAAGTTGAGTGGAAGAAAAGCCTTGCGCATATGTTTTTTTTAACTTGTTCCATGCCATTAGCTTTGGTTTTCCAGCTCGTTGACGAGAGAGTTTGAATTGTTGCCACCAAGCATCAGCTCTGCCTTTAAATCGAATTGCAACCAAGGGAACAGTGCTGTCGTTTGGAACTTGTTTAAATTCAAGGATAACATCAACTGTTACTAGCCTATCAAGGAATTCCTCAGCTATCAGCTCATGAAATTCAGGGATTTCAACTTTGAAACTAGATTGCCATCGATTGTCGTCTCCATGATTTTGATTAGGTGTAGGATGACAGAGTTGCTGAAGGGATTCGCGTCTGATTGAAAATCTTCTTCGTCAAGCAACTATTTTTCCTGGTTACGACAGGGTGCTCTATGAATATCAGTGTTAGCTTCAATAAGACCAGACACCGCTTTTTGAATAGCCTCAGACACCGTACGTTGCATATTGGCTTTACATTCGTCAAACATGTCACAGAATTGTGACCAATCATCCATGGATTGTTTGTCTCTGCGAGGAGGCATTGCAACAGAATCATACCTTTGAAACTGATACCAACTGACGGAGCGGAAGTAACGAATAATGCAAGAGTAACGTTGGTTCTTAGAATACATGTTAATCAAGCATTTACAAAACTGTTGAATCTCAAAGAAAATGCCGGAGTTATGGAGAACAAAGAGTTCTTATTAATAATTCAAGCAAAAGATAATTCTAATACAAGACTCAGGTTCTATTAATAGATTCGGGAATGAATCTTTAATTTTATAGGAATTGAAAATCTCTATGAAAAGGAAACTAAAAGAAATTAAAAAAAAAAAAGCAAACAAAAAGAAAAAACTATCAAAACAAAAAGAAGGAAATCACGTTGTGCAAGGAATAGGATGTATGCTGCATCAGTATACCATAAAAATTTAAAACCTCTACAGACTAAATGGAATAATATAGACTAAATTTAAGTCTGCAGCGGATACCCTACCAAGCTTGAAACTGACCTTTTTTTAAAAAAAAAGATTTATTTTTATCTGATTTTGTAATTTCTATGTTTTATAATTTTATTTAATTTTATTTTGTTATATCTATTTTTGAAAACACAGTGTGCTTTCAATTTTTTTTTTGTTATTTTATCTATTTGATAATAAATAACTAAGAATTTAAAAAGTTTATATCAATACTTTGACACATATCACGATCTTAATTCAATATGAAACATGTTATAATCTTATAAGTTAGAATTATTTTAGCTCACGTTAACGCGTTTAACTTTATATAATAAGAATAAAAACTATTTTATGTGTTATGCTTACGTTAATGTGTTCAACTTTCTTAATGTTAAATGCTTTTTTTTTCAGTGTTAAATGTTAAAATTTTCAAATTTGATGTTTTATACCCAAAACCGTTTGAAAATCTCTTGGAAAATTCCAACAACACGACTACACGAGGCTCAAAATGCCGCAAATTTCCAACACACGAGGCTCGAGTTAAGAATCAGAGAAGCAGAATTAGGTCATAACTACGAAAAAATATCTAGTTTCTTATAATATAAAGTTAGAAAGTAAAGGAAGACTAATTGTATATTGTAACGGTAGTTTAATCCCGCAAAATCAAATGGGTAAAAAAATCTTATTATCCCATATAAACCACAAACGGAGAAGCCAAAATTTGGCACATATCAATCGACTCATGAACGCAAATCACATGTATTATATGTAACTAAAACCGACATATCAAACTTCTACTATCAAATCCTTAAGTAAATCACCAACCCTACTCACACCCACCAAAGCAAGCCCATCACTAAACACAGCATAAATATAACAACAGTGTCAATGTGACAATGTTTGCCTTTAAAGAAAAACGCTTTCATGTGATTGGACAAAACGAAGTCGACGTAACACGAAACTGCTTGTTTGTTTTGTTTTTTTCTTGTAGCTCCGTAACAAATCTTTTGCTTTAAGAAATTAAATTAATTGTGTGAGATCCATATTACTAACCATGGATAATTTCATACCATAAATTACACAGAATAACCATCTTTCACCATGTGTTAGTCTATTAATTAAGCTTCAAACCCAAATCAAAAACTTCACACAAAACACAATTACCTTGGAGTGAGAGAGAGAAGAGAAAGAAAGATTGTGGAAATGGGTGCTTCGTACCAAGAACCATCATCATTGCTTCTTCAAGATCTCAAAGTGACGATCAAAGAATCATCACTCATTTTCCCATCTGAACAAACCTTAACCAATAAGAGAAAATCTATGTTCTTGTCCAACGTCGACCAGATTCTCAACTTTGATGTCCAAACTGTTCATTTCTTCCGACAAAACAAGGAGTTTCCACCGGAGATTGTGACGGGGATATTGAGAAAAGCGTTGGTGAGCGCTATAGATGTTTACGAGTTCTTGGCTGGGAGACTTCGCCTGAACCATAGCTCTGGACGGTTAGATGTTGACTGTAACGGTGCTGGAGCTGGGTTTGTGACGGCGGCTAGTGAGTATACTTTGGAGGATCTTGGAGATTTGGTTTATCCAAATCCAGCTTTTGCTCAACTGGTTACAAGTCAGCTTGAAAGTTTTCCCAAAGATGATCAACCATTGTTTGCTTTTCAGGTAACCAACAATTACTTCTTATGTTTTTTTAATTAATTCCTAAACCTATACTTTTCCAGGTTAATTACTTGTTTTTGTGGAGTAATATTTGTTTATTTTGTGGAGTTATATATATCATACAAAAATCAAAAATTCTGATTGTATGTTGTATAACAAAAACACAAACAAACTTTCTTTTAGTTTAGGCAGAGGCAGACCCATGTAGGAGACAGAGACTTGCCTACAGTGAAATGAAAAAGCCAATCGCCTAAAGCCACATCTTATATATTAAGTTTAGAAGCCACATTTAATAAGTGAATTATAATTTTCTTGGTTGGCTAATTTATCTGGTGCATATTTTTATTTTGTTCAAGTTAGATCCTCAGCGGTATGAAAGTATAACCATTTTTCACCAAATTAAAAATATTACTGTACATTTGATTACTGATTTTTTTATATAATTTCATTAAAAGGGCCACATTTTAATTTTAATCTAAGGGGTTCACCCCTTAATTTTTATAGAAAAATTTACGCAGCCACATATACTTGTTAGTGACATACGGCTAATTTGGTTTAAAATGCTTCAAGTTTGACTCCCCTATCCTGAACTCAAATCCATTTAGCGACATTCTATATGCATTTTGTCCTAGTTTTTTTTTTACGTTGTCCTAAAATGATTATTTACATTATTTTGTTTCTTCCGTAACTGCTTAATAATCAATAACTTTATAATTTCTTGATACATACTGCTTTTTCCATAACGTTTTCTTCCCTTCCTTTTGGTTTTCAATTCTTATTATTGGTTCAAATTCTTTAATTTAAATTGTTATCTAAAAATATTTCAAATCATATATTTTTGCCAAAATAAACGGTTGTCAGCAATATACACTTTTAAATTAATACAACTAAAAATATGGAATTGAATTTTTTATTTCTAATAACTTATGTAGTATTTATTAAATAATAATAATAATAATAATAATAATAATAATATACTTTTGTAAAATATTGGATTTATTTTACTATTTAATATATAGTTTGACCCTGGTAATTTTTTTCCTAGTTCCCATTTAATTTAATCAGTCGGAATGGTATTATATTATATATATGTATGTATATATATATCCATCATATTTATCAAGTACGTATAAGAAAACAGGTAAACAAAAAGGTAATTAACATATAAAAAAACAAAAAAAAAATAGGTGTAATATGTAACATATAACTACACATGTTTCAGTTTCGCCTGCAGACAGACAATATGCCAATTAAGTTTGAAATAGTTTGAAAATTTTCCAATGTACAATACTGCTGACACATAAATTTGGTTGCTATTTTATTTTATTTCTTAGTTATATAAAACTATATATATAACTATATTTTCATCCAATACATTAAATCGAGGTGCTACACATCAATATTTATAAAATTATCAAAACTAAAGAATCTATAAAAAAAGTTATTTCAATTTATTTAGTTACGCTTTTTTTTTAAGAACAATTTATTTATTAGTTACGTTGTTAGTATTAATAAAAAGGTCATAATATATTCATGATTGTAACATAAATCTACTTGTGCCGTGGAGTTATTAAAATATTAAAACGCTGGTTTTCTTGGTTAATCATTTATTGAATCTTACCAAACTTAAAGCAATCTAAATTAATGTGACGTAATTCTGTTTGATATACCGCCAAATAATGTAATCATTATTCTAAAGTACAGTACTATATACCACATTTACTCGATAGTTAATGAACGTATGAGGCAGTAGTAAGTAGTCAGTGTCGACATCTTTTTAAATGTGTTGTGGTATGTATATAGTATATACTATGTACGATATGCTATATATGGGTATTCTATGGATTATTCTTGTGTGCTATGATCATATATTCCAATGATTTGTGCTAACTTTGCATTTAGGGTAGGGCCAAAGCTCTGGTAAATTAGGTTTATAAATTCTGTAAATTCTTGCATATGTATGTAAATAACTTCTAACTATTTTATAGATATAGGCTAAAGCAAACTTGTCATTTTCCAAAATCAAATTTTTGGAAGGACTTTGGATACTTTTAAATCAAGTTATTATAAAAGAAAAACAGAAATTTCAGGAGTTTTTTTAGTGTCCGGCTTTTTTGTTGTTTTCAATTTTTCAATCTTTTAATGTTAAAATAATTCAAAACTAATTGTTCTTTTTTTAGAGAAAACGGTACATAAACTTCATCTTAACTAACGGAATAAAATATACACGTATAATAACTAGAAAAAAATGTCGTTTACAAGTGGCTCAAAGTGATGCTTCTTAAGTTTGTCCTTAACAATAACTGAGTGATGGAGATCAATATATGTACTTAAAATTAAAATTTTGCCAGCTGACATCATTTAAGTGCGGTGGATTTGCAATGGGAATCTCAACAAACCATACGACATTCGATGGACTTAGTTTCAAAACATTTCTCGAAAACTTAGCCACTCTACTAAGTGAGAAGCCTTTATCAACACCTCCATGCAACGACCGTACTCTTCTCAAAGCTCGTACTCCGCCGCGTGTCACATTCCCACACCACGAGCTTGTCCAGCTCCAAAACTCCGAAAAGACAACAGTCTTCGAAACTACTGCAGAACACTTAGACTTCAACATTTTCAAGCTATCCTCTCAACAAATCATGAGGCTCAAAGAGAAGGCTTCGGAGTGTCTTAGTAGTGAATGTGTACGTGTGACGGGTTTCAACGTTGTGACCGCTTTGGTCTGGAGGTGTAAGGCACTCTCTTTAGTAGAAGAAGAAGAAGAGAAGGATCTTGAAAGAGAATCAACGATTCTTTATGCGGTGGACATAAGAGGGAGGCTGAATCCTCAGCTTCCCTCTTCATACACTGGGAATGCGGTTTTAACAGCGTATGCGAAGGCAAAACGCAAGGCATTGCACGAAGAACCGTTTGGGAGGATTGTGGAAATGGTAGGAGAAGGGTCGAAGAGGATAACGGATGAGTACGCGAGATCCGCTATAGATTGGGGAGAGATGTACAAAGGGTTTCCGCATGGGGAAGTTTTGGTTTCTTCGTGGTGGAAACTTGGATTTGCAGAAGTGGAATATCCATGGGGAAAGCCTAAGTATAGCTGTCCCGTTGTGTATCATCGGAAAGACATAGTTTTGCTTTTTCCGGACATAGATGGAGATAGTAAAGGTGTTAATGTTTTGGCTGCTTTGCCTTCTAAGGAGATGTGCAAGTTTCAGAAGTGGTTTGAAGACACCGTCTGCTAATTTCTTGTCTCCACTTTGCATTTGTATTGCTTAATTTTGTTTCATTACTATGGTATTTTCTGTGGACGATTTGTTTTGTTTTTTTTCTTTCAGTTCTATAGGACCTAAATTAAATTAAATTAAAAACATTATAAAACCTACATAATGCTACGTTGACAAAAAAAATTACAGTATGGTTTGGTTCTGTTTGATATTTAATATTAAAAGTATTAATAACATTATTTAATAAAAAAGTATTAAAACCGATACTTGTGTTCCTTATATTGTATGCTTTTCTTTTGTATTCCATTAAATCTATTTTAAATATATATATAAGAATACAAATTTAATATCAAACTAGATTCTAACCCCGTGCATCCGCACGAGAATATTTTTATTGTTTAACGAATTTTGTAATATAATTTGTGTTTTTGAGTTTAGATATAATTATTTTTATAAATATATTTTTTAATAAGTGAAAATATTGATTTTTGTGTTTAGATATATTTTTATAATATTAAAATTAATTATGATTATAAAAATATAATTTTAACCCGTCCACTAATATTAATTCAAAATGAACTATTATAAAAACATAATTCTAACTTTTCCGTTCATATTACCGTATAATATAAATATTTGTTAAAAGTTTGAGATGTATTAACAGTATTATTTAGCATTATAGTTTTTTAGAATTTAATCAACGAAGAGAGTGTACAACTGGTTTTTCAAACCACATTATAGTGTATGCAATAATTTTAAATTTTTTTATGTTTTGATTTTGTATGAAAAATATATTTTTGATATACATGTATAATTAAAAATTAGTGATTTTAGTTACCAAAATATTTTTAACCCGGTTTTTTATATATATTTTTAGTTCTATGAATTTTTAAAAAATATATTTTTAATATTTAAATTATACATTTGAATTTTACCTATTATTTTATTATTAATTTGTAAATAAATCATAATCATAAATATATTATATAAGCAACATAAATATCATATCATTTACATCATTATAAATATTTTATATTTCAAATATGACCATCATTTTTTATATGTGAATTTTTTTTTTCAAAAATTCTAGATTTTTTTGATAAAAATGTTTAATAGTATAGAAATTATTTAAATTAGAATCTTTAAATCAAATTTAAATTAATATCTGATTTATTATTTTTAATCAAATCAAATCAAATCAAATCTAAATTACCTATATTTAAGGAATTCTAAAAATATTTAAATTAATAACTAATTTTCAAAATTAAACATTTAAAAAAAAATTAGGAGTGTTTGGAAGTAAGTGCTAAATGTGCTTCTGTTTTAATATAATAGATTTTAGTAATTTCTTTTTGGTTACTCTAAAATGGCCTTCTCTGGTTTCGTTCTTTTTCTTTGAAACAATAAATCGAATATAATTACAAACACATTCGGTAATTCATTTGAAACAGAGGGTGTGAATACTGCACACCTATGTAATCTTCTGTTTTTGTTATAAAAAAAAGTAGTTAAACGTTGTAATGAAAGCACAAAATATATTGTGAATGGAGAAGATTTATAGTTATTAAGGCTGTGCATAAACTTTTAACCTGAACATAAACATTTCAGGTTACTTCTCCTTAACCGACTTATCATTCCCTCATCAAAAACACTTTTCCAATATTTTGCATCATACATTTTGTATCCACAAAGCAAAAAACAATTTGAGGGATGTCACCAAAAAAAAGGATGGAAACTGTGAAAGAGACTTAAGCATCATTCTCATTTTCCAATCTCTCTGTTTCTTCAACCGCGGGTGGTGGTGGTTTTGTGGATGGAGGCAAACACCGTTTTGAGAAGAATGTAGATATCGTCTTTGGTCTCTTACCGCCTTTATCCGGCGATGGCGATAACCCAAGCTTTGTCAATACTTCTTTCTTTACCTGTTCCATTAAAAATTAAAGGATTCAACAATCTTTGTAATTACAATTGTTAAAAGATTAGAAGTATAATGTAAGAACTAACCTGCCAACGGCTATCCTCGAAATCTGATATCTCGCGCACTTTTTGTCTCAGCTTGGTCTTTGGAACATCAGGGAACTTCTGTTGCAATGTTTCAACCACTCTATTGATACCTTGAGAGCATGATTGAATAGTTGATACCTGTGAAGCAAAATTCTCGTTAGAACTAAGTAACAATATATTAAAAAAACAATTTATTTGTTTGGAGAAAATCTACTCACAACTGTAAGCAAATCTGAGTCTGGTATGGATTTTGCTCTTGAAGCAGGTGGAGGAGTGCTCTGACTACAAGATGACTTGCCGGTTTCTTGATCCTCGTCTTGTATGTCATTGATAGATATCTCAATGAGAGAAGACCAAGGAAATGCTCGTACCACGAGAGCTCGTAGACATACCTGTTCCATTTTCTGTGTACCTTCTAAATCTTTGACAGATAAAAGAGAGACTTTCTCATGCGTTAGGTTAGATATAATCAGTGGCTGTGTTTTCGCCAGAGCGTGATCAGTCAAAGTTTGCAGATGCTTTTGTTGATGGAGTAGCGTGCGAAACTCTTGACTTTCTTGATCTTGCTTAGATGGATGCGAACTTGCATCCTGTTCAGACGGGTCAATGTCCATTCTGTCCACTTGGACTCCCTGAAAGAAACAAGCAACCAAAATTATGAGAATGAATGAGGAATAGGAGTTGAAATCTGACCAATAATTTAAATAGCTGTATTAGATCTCTAAAATATCAACTTAGATTAGAAGAATTTATGATGAATTAGGTAAACATTGCTTTGGCTACCTCATCTTCAGAGAGATATCCATCAGGTACCATAAAGCTATCTTCACTATCATCTTCATCATCAGCCTTTGAACATCCTTCTTCCAAACAATCCTCTTCGTCGTTCTCACAATCTGAAAGGCTTTCACCAGCTTGTTCCTGTAAACAACAAAAAAAAGCACCGTATTACCCAGTGATCTTATCGAGTTATCGAGTTGTAACAACATAAAGAAGAGATGAAATCTGTGAAACTACCTCTTCCCATTCTTCATCACTATCAACGTCATAATCCAATTCTGGATCCTTTTTCAGAGGACGACGTGGACCTACAACTCGACTGTAGATGTTGAACAGAAGAACTCTCAGTACCATTGAAAGCAAACTTAGAGAGTACACAGAGGTTTTTTCTTTTCTAAATAGGATGGCCAGATGTATATCAAAATATGAAACGACATCGTTGCGACTCTAGCATAATCACTGAATACACAATCACTGTTACAAATTAGCTACAATGAATGTTAAATCCAAATTAATGCATATAAGAGGATAAGAACCACATATTTCCAACATACACGGTGGTTAGTTGATTTAAGGATCAGCCTCTACAAAGGAGCATAAATGTGTAAAGCTAATACACAAAAGCAGTAACAAACAAACTAATTGAGAAGCTAAGAAGGTTTCACAAATACTTTTAGCTGACTAAACTAAAGAATGATCTATATTCTTAGCTTACTGCCTAAAATGAAGGTTTTTCAAAACAAGTACTAACCTTTGGCTTGGCCAGATACCATAAAAGCCTGGTCTGCAGCATTTATCAAACTGTAACAACTGCTTGGCTCTCCTGGACTTCTTACGATTAGATGACGAAGACTCGCACTGCGAAATGCAAGATACACCACCCAAGTTTTTCTCTTCATCTTCATCCCCTTGCTTCTCCATGTTAGGTTCCCCGTCAGATGTTGGTCCTCTATTTGTAGCTAGTTTTAGTTTTGGAAACAATTCACTCTTTGGCTGCCTACGCATCCCCCAATGTGTTTTCAAACTCGAGAGCGACTGACCCAACTGACGCCAGGATGAAAAGTGTGCCCTGCAAAAGAATACAACTTAGATCAGAATATCCAAGGTGACACCTAACAGATCAATCACCCAGGAAAACTACTGTCATACCTGCGTAAATCATCAACAGTAGCTTCACAAGTTGTTGCAAAGGCATTGTCGATGGCCTGAATAACTGTTCTGCTTTCATTCTCAGGTTTTGTACATGATGCAATCGGAGCAGTTACTTCACCGGAAGGAAGTTTTGGTTGGGTCAATGAACTGTCTTTGCTTCTTTTAAGAAAACGCTCCATGATTGAAGCCTGTTTCTTTACTTCAAGTTGCTTCTTTAGCTCGGCTTGTTCCTTCTCTCTACGCCTCTGCTCCCTCTCTGACTCGTCTTGCTGCTTCTTTATCCGTTTTCTCGACTCGATCTCTTCCTTTTCTTTATCGTCATTAAGTGCCTTCTGCAGCAGCTTCTGCTCTTTTTCCTGACAACAACAGAAAATGCTCAGTCAGAAGTCGTAATTCAAAATCCAATAGACCAAAAGAGAATATACAACACCAGAAGACGATGAAGAAAATATTAGCTTACATGTTGCAGTTTGTCTTTCAAAATTTGACGGTCCATTCTCTTCTTTTCCTTCTCAGCTTCACATCTAATTTTCTCCATTTGTTTAAGAAGCAATTTCTCTTCTCGCTTCGCATCTTTCTCAGCCCTTTAACGACCAAAACAAATAACTAAATAAGAAAAAAAAGCAAGAGAAAATATAAACCAAGCTCTAACTAAAGATGCTTACATCTCTGTACTATTCTTCTTCAACATGTTATCCATGAACGATCGAATATCCACCTCACTCAGTACTTTACCTAGCTTTTCAGCAGCCTTCCTCAGATCAGATCTGCACGACTTTTCAGTCTCTACTCTTTGTAATGCAGCCAACATTGCTGAAAAAACAACACAGTAATGTAAGCTTCCACATCATACAAACAATCGATGGTTCTAATCAATTAATCATCGATAGAAAAAACATTTACCAGAAACTGCTGTAATCCTTTCATGAATCTTCTTCCTACAAGTCCGTCGAACTTTTAGCAATCCACGCACAGATTTAGGCATCATTTTCAGGTCTCTCGTCTATTACATCAAAGAAAAAATTACAAATCAAGCATTAAATGCTATCACCAAGCATATAGATCACACCAAATAACACATTAATTGCTACTTCTATCAAGAATCAAGGTAGAACATTGACACTAATCACAATCAATATCCCAAATGCTCAATAGGAAGCCCTAAAAATACCAATTGAAGAAGAAACAAGCAATGAACCATTCAATTACCTCCCAGCACCAGAGACAAGATTCAGTATCATCTTCCAAAACATCGGCGTCTGCGTTGGGCACACCGTAACTCACTCTCTGTCCCACAGAAACAATGGCGCTCTTCACGGAAGCCATCGTTACACTTTCCATCTTCTCCGTCAATCTCGAGAAAATCTCATCCACAAGCTTCGACAAAGGCAAGCTCATTTCCTCCATTAACAAAGCCACCATTGAGTTCACGGAGGTGAAATCGCTCAAACCTGAAAACAGATCTGTCGTCTCGCTCTGACCCATCATTTCTCTGAAATACTCGAAAAGCCCTTCCGTCTCCTTCTTCAACGATGAGATCTGAGCTTCTTTCTCCTCAGAGCTTAGGTTTTCAATCGCGGCGGGTTCTCTCTTCCGCTTACTCGGCTTCTTCTGTTGCTCCTGACGGATCATCTTCCGATTTTCGATTTTCATTACCGTCGATTCCTTTTCCATCGCGAAACCCTAGTAATCCAGAAAAAAATGAACAAGATCTGGAAAATCCCTAGCGAAAAATCGACGGCGAGAAACACTAGATTCACAAAATCGAGTGTGGAAATTAGGGTTTCTTTGTGATTTGAGTTTCAATTTTCCTCTGCGATTGTCGTTTTTTTTTTTTTTTGGTGAGTGAAGTATGAGAAAACGAAGGATATGATGAGTGGAGGGGAAAATGGTTCTGAAAGAGAAATGGAAAAAAAAATGGAGGTTTCACCGATTGATTTTCCCGCCAAGGATTTGACGGGTGGATTTGCCTCCAAATGACACATGCAAAATTTATGTTTTGCTATTTGGCGGCAGTTTGTTTTAAGAGAGGGAAAGCCCAATTACATATGGGCCTGCTTTTGTTTCTTTTCAGCCGCTAACGGTAGGAAAAAAAATGCTATATACAAAGTTGAATAGGCCTTTCCAAAATCTGATGAGGAGTGTCGGTACTTGGGAGTTGGGAGTTTGATCAATCGTGTTGCTGGTTCACCAAATCTGTGAGCTGCTGCAACCTTTTGATGAGATAACCAACTTGATTTCAGTTTTAACGTATTCGACTTCCAACTTGTTTTTTATGCAAGTTTACAAGATTAAGTATTGGCTGAAGGCACATGAGAATAATGGAGAAGCTGTTATTGTCGAGATGGTTGAGGTTATGAAAGGTTAGTAGTTGATAAGTCTTGCATTGATTATAGTGAGATTTTTGCAATGGCGGTTTAAGTTATCATTACTAGAGTCAGAGCCGCGCCTGAGCACAGGCTAATGAAACATATACTTTAGGGTCTGAGGAGTTAAATATTTTTTTTTTGCCAATTTTTCAGAGTTGGAGTTAATCCAAGTGGTTTGTGAATAGGTAAAAGCATGTTTGGTTAAAGGTTTGCATGTCATTTTTCTTCTTTTTTGCCAATTATTTGTGGGCTAAGCTGCATTAAAAAGAGTTTTAAGGAGTCATTTTTTTTGTTCTCGCTTGTAGTTAAAGAAATCTCAGGCACAGCTCTGAGTAGAGTATTGTTTCAAATCTGGATGAGTGTACATGTCAACAAAAGATGGAGTATGCAAACAGAATCTGTCTTTAAAAGTTTTTTCAAAGTCAGCAACCCAAAAGCTTAGAAATATTTAGTTTTTTCAGATTTTGCACATGGCTTGTTTGCATTGATGTCAGATTTCCACAACTTTTGCAAAAAGAATTTTAGTGCTAGTGGAAAATATGCATTGGACAGGTACTTGAAAAAAATAACACTAGACATGGAGAGTTTTGCAAGATGTGTTGGATTATTGAAAAAAAAATTATCATCGCTTTGGTGAGTTATCTAGGATGGCTTGTGATTTTCTCAACATTCCTATCACAACAATAGCTTATTTTTTTTCCTTAGCACTGGATCATGGACCTTAAATAAGTATTAAGTTATATTTTTCCATGAAATGTTCAAACATTGATATGTGCTTGTGATTGGTTCGGAGGTTTCAAAGTATATGACAATGGTTACACATAATTTATAATCTTTCTGTTATAATTATATAGTTATAGTGGTACTACTTTTAATGCTTTCTTGGACATAATCAATGATTGGTAAATCCCAAATTAAAGATGATAACTTGCATTCATTAGAATTGTTGGTTTCAACTACTTCACTACAAGAAAACATAATTCCTGCAAAAATTTCTACGAAATATTTGGTATGACAATTTTATAACAAAAATCCTACGTAATATCGACGGAAAATAGAAGACATGGAAAATTGGTAGGAAATTTCCGACTAAACTAAGGTGTCAGGAAAATGATAGGGTATTTCCTACTAATAACCTACAAAAGACAAATTCGTAAAAAATTCGGTCAAAATTTGGAAGGGAAGTGGTAGGTTCTATGTGACTATTGTGAGTATTTCGTCAGAAATTTCCTACGCATTTCTGACGAAATATTTTCTGTAAGAAAACTTATAGGAGATCTGTAAGAAAATTTCAGACCATTGTAAAAAGTTTTTGTTGTGGTTTGTCCCACATCGAAAAATTGAAATAATTTAGATGAGAAAAGTGCAATATAAATAAGAGTCTTGTTTTCTCTCAAATTAATTATTTTTTTCAAATAAGATCCATATTTTGAGATCCATTCCAATTGGACCTATTTTCAAACATGTAAAATAGTAATTCACGAGTGTGAATGTACAATGATAGATGGGATTCAATTACCAAAAAAGTTACAAATGAGTTTGCCATAGAGCTCACTGAATTTATGTGTTTTGCTACAAACCAAGACACATGCTTAAGCAGTGGTAAAATAATTTATCCTCATCCATGTTGTGATAATCATAAATTCATAAATGTGGATAAAGTGTGGAATCATATATATAGTCGAGGATTTACGATGAATTACGAAATCTGGTATTATCACGGAGAAAGAGATATTATGAATGAGGGTAGTACTAATCGACAAGTTAGTGAAATAGAGAGGTTAGAAGAACCTACAATGCAAGTAGGAAACCTCAGTACAGTACGGATGGTTCATGATGTGTTTATGGAAGATGAAAATTAGAGTAGATGGGCCAAATTTAGAAACGAGGCAATTTTTTGATATGTTAGATGCAGCGAAGCATCCTTTACATGAAGGTTGTAAGGAAAGTCATTTTCCTTTGTCACACAACAAGAAAAAGGCGTTTTACATCGGAATATATCGACGTAATGGTCGATTTGCGTCGAATTAACGACAAAAAGTAAATCGTCGTAAACGAGCGTCGTAAAACTCAAATCCTTGTAAAACTGACATAAAATTTCCAACACCCATAAATTTTCGTAATTTCGTCGGAAAGAATTCGTCGTAACAGTTTTTGACAAAAATACGACGACTATCGTTTCAACACAAAATCGACGTAAACTCGATGTAATATTACATCGAATTTACAACGACTAAGAAACAAATTTTTTTTGTCAAAAAATAATTAAAATTATTAGAGATCGACGTTAATTTGTTGTAAATAATCAACGTTAATTCGTCGTAAAACTTTTTGGCGTTAATTCATCGTAAAACTTTAAACGTAAAATCGACGTAAATTTACGACAATTTTACGTCATATAATAAACAAAATATTAATGAAAATTTGATTTTTAAATAATAAAATAATATTAAAAATAAATTAGTAAATTGATATTAAATAAAACAAAATTATAATTAAAAAATAAATTCGAAAAAAAATAATATATTAAAATACAAATTCAAATACAAAATGTTTGAAAAATTAAAATTAATCTACAAAGTGATATCAAAATCTTCGAGATTGAGATCGACGTTCCGAGAAGGCTCTCCGTCATGTTCGCCTGAAACCGCTGTAAACCGCCATTTTCCATTTGAACTACGGGAACCGAAGTCTGACCCTGGGTTGTCTACTGGTCAGAAGATCCACTGGAAGAACCCCTCCAAGAATCCGTGACCGGCGTTGCCTCTCTCGGATTGCGGCGGCCAACAGCAGAACCGCTGCTTCTATGACGTCGATGAGCGCATTAATCTCGGAGATCTCCTGCTTCTGGACCACTTGCTCATCCCGTAAACCGGTAATTCCAGCATTGGCTGTAGCAAGCTTCTATCGCAGTTGACCCGGATCCTCGTACGTGCGGCTCCCCGAAGACGAGGTGATGGGACAGTTTCTATAGAGCCCATCCCTAAGATGCAGCCCTTCTTCCTAGGAGTAACCTACAAATAAAAGTGAAAATGTTATATCATAACTATATATATACAGATAAGTATATAGTAATTAAATTAAAAGGAATATTGAAATCATACCTCTTCGAAGATCTTGTCTTGGTCGAGGACGGTCAAAGGTACTTGGATAGTATAGTCAGGTGTGACCTGGGTCTCCCGCTCGGCGATCCTCTTCGTTATAGATCTCCTCTGACCGAGCATCTACAAAAGTCATGTCCTTCTTCCGGTGTGTGACCTCGAAGAGCTTCGTCACTGGAGGAAGCTCTCCTCTGTTCTCATCCGCCTACAAAAAAAGGTTAAAACATTAGTAAATACAAAACTATATAAAAATATAAAAATAAATAATTTAAAATTTATTACCATCATCAGACGTCTTCCCGCAAATGGTACTTGGTCAGAAGTGTGTTGGATCACTAACTTCCGACCGTTAGGACCGACCTGGTTTTGAACCTCCGAACACTTAGCAGCTACTTCTTGTGGATGCGGGTCCATCCAATACACATTCAACCTGTTCCAGCAGTAAGTAGATATCAAACTCGGCTTCGCTTTGTCGCCGTCTATCTCCCACTTCCGCTTCCAATCGGAAACGGTGTTGACAAGGCGTTTCTGTGCCTTCAAGCGAAACTGTGTCCAGACCTCCTCGTTGATCGAGATGTCCCAGTTCCACCTTTGCTGCAAAATAAAACAATATAGTTGTTAAAACAATTTATATATAATAAATTTTAAATAATTAGAATTAAGACGGAGAAAACCAGATTTACCAGGAAGCATTTGTACCTGGTGTTGAAAATGTCTTGCGACACCTTGCCCCAGTTGTAGTGAGGCTCGACGAAATATCTCTTAATTGTGTCGGAAACACTACGACCGACACAATTATCCAAGCCAAACCTATAAAATAAAAACGTAATATATTATTAATTAAGTCAATGATTTATTTTAAAAAATAATAAGATAAAGAAAAAAATACTTACCAATAAGAGTCTCGTACCGCTTTTCCGATGACCAGACGTCGTAAACCCTCCCGTCCTGGTAGGACTAATAGGTCCTCCACCGTATACCGGGCATACGGATACAGAGGGCAGGGTTCGGGTGCCGGTGGTGGAGGTGGTGGTGGAGGCGGTGGTGGAGACTGCTCAGCCGCCATGTTCGGAACCTGGAAGGCTCCAGAGGAAGACGGGATCTCAGTATTACCCGAGGCAGACGTCCGAGAAAGAGAATGTCCGTCCGCTTTAAAGTTGATGTAGTGGGTTTTTCGAGGAGGCATCGTCTGCAAAAGACAAATACTAATTAAAATTATTTTCCGGACCTATAATCTAATTCTGAACTTAATTATAAACAAATTCTAAATCTAAACTAATTATAAACCTAAACTAATTTTCCTATATTAGTTAATTTAATTATAACTAATATTAATTATAATTTTATATATTATAATTATATATTAATTTTTTTTTAAAAAAATACCTGAAAACTTGAAGAAGAGGAGAGAAGGTAGAGGTAGAGAGAGAGAAAGGACTAGGAGGAATGAGCGATGAAGTGGGGAATGGTACGTCCATATATATAGTTTTCATATTCATCGTAAATCCATCGTAAATTTACAACGAATGTACAACGAAAGTGTCGTAAATTCGACGCATAATATCCAGCGATCCACAAATCATATAAGACAAACACATGTGGCTGTCTTTGGATTAAACGACGGATTTACGATGATCCTAGCAAATCGTCGTAAATCCGTCGTAACATTACGACGAAATTACGACGATATCTTATAAATCATTTTTTACATAACAGCTGAGTTTCCAAAGAACCGTCGTAAATGTGTCGTAACATTACGACAGATTTACGATATATTTTTCAAAATTTGTTAAAATAAAAAAATTTATAGATGTCCAAGTATCTACATGCATTACTAAACATTGTATATGTGTGCAGTACAACTTCTTGTATGTATATATAGCATAATGATGAATATACTAATGTTTAAGATGAACTTTTACATGTTTCCCTAAATGTATATATGTATCTTATGAGCATGTAAACCATATAATTCTCATGCTTGAAATCCATCATATAGCCCAGGAAATGATAATTACAAGATTTAGGGGTTAGATTTGGCGTCGATGTTACGAAGATATGAGGAATTTCGTCGTTAATTTGTTGGAAAATTACGACGAATTTACGACGATCTTGTACCAATCGTCGTAAATTCGACGTAATGTTAACCATAGATTTACAAGTTTTTGGATCTTATACTAAAACTTTTTATAGAATAAATGGGTTTCCTCAGGAAACAGCACAAAACAACAATTGTATAAGGTGAGAAAGCTAAACCCTATAGGTTTAAGGTTTGAGTATTACGACGAATTTACGTCGAGTTCATCAGAAGCGTCGTAAATTCGTCGTAAAAGTCAATGCCTGTCTAAAGTCAACATTTAACAATTTTTTAATTTGATTGTCTTTCACTTTTACACATTTGTAAGTAATAAAAAGTTATTTTTATAACATTTAACAATATTTCCCTACCCAAACCATTTAAAATTACGTTTAATGAGACGACAAACTGATCAATATAATTATGTTTAGCATTCAGATACGTCTTTTGGGGATATGTCATTGTGTTCATCATCTTTATCGCCGTCCTCAATCTCATCATCTTCATCACTACTTGTTTCAAATTTATCAACAGCTTCTTCAGTGTCGTCCCTATGGAGATCTTCAACTTGTCGATTACGTGGATCAATTAAAAGAACACGTTCTTCAAGCTCAGGTTCAGTTAAGTCTACACAATCATCTTGTTGCATAGGCGGGAGATCTACACCATCAATTATACATTTTGGAGCAACTTTAATAACCACCAACCATGAAATTCCAGTACTTCAAACTCAAGGATATGGAAAAAATGTGAGTTGTTCTGCTTGTGATGCAAGGATAAAAGGCTCAAACTTAATGTATCGTTGTGAGGTGTTTACATCTACCACTCCAAACTTGTTAATACGCACTCCACGACTCACCGTTGGATCAAACCAATCACATTTGAATAGAACAGTTTTCATCCTTACTAATCCGGGGTATTTCACTTCAATTATCTCTTTTATGATCCCATAAAAGTCCACTTCACCTCGTACACAAACTCCATAGTTGGTAGTTGCCTGTTGAATGTCATGACTGTAAGTATGGAAAACATAGCCAAGGATGAAATACATAGCTGCAGTAGTTATCTTAGATATAGGACCATGAAGCAACTCATGAAACCATATTGCATATGTCATGTTATCATGATCGACCTGAGCTTTTAACCACAATGCATAATGTTGGTCTTTCCAATTATTAATTTCATCTTCTGAAACACCGTCAATGCATTCTCGGACTTGACTAACAAAAGTGCGGCAAAACACATTGTTATATATATATATATATGCATTAATGCATATATGATAATCAATAATCATATAATCCAATAGTACATCTCGTAAGGAGCCAATTCGTCGCAGTTCAGAAGGATGTATGTATGTGCGCTGTGGTAGTCTTTTTCGTTTGACCAACAACTTTCTTTTAGTTTCCCACTTAGGCGTCAAATCGGTAAGAATATATCTGGTACACCTTCTACTGCGTAGGTTTGTCCTACACACCCATAGTTATAACATCATGGAGCCCGTTTGTGTGTACGAACATTTGGAGCAAAAAGTAAGACGTGAAATAAGAAGTTTCTTCTGTCAAACTTCCTGCCACGATAGACCCTTCAATTTTTGCTAAGTTTGTAGCCTTACCCTTTAAATACTTCATAAAGCGTTCAAACGGATACATCCATCTAAACTGAACATGTCCTCCTAACTCTGCTTTGTGAGGGAGTTGTATAGGTAAATGTTCTATAACATCAAAGAATGCAGGTGAAAATATTTTCTCTAAATTGCACAACAGTATTGGAATATTTGTCGAAAGTTATGCAGCTACATCTGCTGATAACGTTCTTGTACTTAAATCACGAAAGAAAGCTCAAATGCCTCCTAGTGCCTCATGGACATGTCCCAGTAGGAGTTCAGCAAATGCAAAAGGAAGCAATCGTTGCATAAACACATGAAATTCATGACTCTTCATCCCTGAAAAAATTTGTCCTTTCTCCACAGATTTAGCCAGATTAGATACATAACCATCAGAAAATTTCACGGCTGATGATATCCAATTAAACAATGCAGCTTTTTGTTCTGCACCCAACTGAAATACCGGAACTGGTGTTTTCCCATTACTCACAATATGCAACTCAATTCTATTACATATATCAGGGAAGTCCATCCGTGATTTGATGCTGTCTTTGGTTCTTCCTTGGACGTTCAATATGATAGGCATGATGTTATCGAAAAAATTCTTCTCAATGTGCATAACATCAAGATTACGTCTCAGCAAATGATCTTTCCAGTATGGCAGATCCCAAAATATAATTTTTGTGCCAATTATGATGAACCCCATATCTTTCAGGCATATTCGCTGGAGTGTGTCAATTTCCTCCTAGGGGGAACATTTCAAATCCACCCCAATGATCTATTTGCGCTTCAAGATCTACCCATGTTAGGTACACTGGTGGGGAGGAGGGGGGGGGGAGATGAACCAATTTGTTCTTTATAAACAAACACCTGTTCTATATTGATGGTTTGGTGGTAAAAACCGACAGTGACAATCAAACCAAAGGTTTTCCGACCATGTTTAAGCTGAAATGCATCAGTCCTATCAAGAAAATAAGGACATGATAACCTCCCATGCGTTGTCCAACATGATAACATTCCGTATACCGGGAAGTCGCTTAGTATCCACATAAGCACCGCTCGCATCATAAAATTTTTACCACTCGAACAGTCATATGTTCGTACTCCGACATGCCACAACTAGTTTAACTCATGTATGAGTGGCTGCAAAAACACATCAAGGGCCCGTTCGGGTGATTTGGACCAGGGACTAAGATATTTAGAAACAAAAACTCCCTTTGCATGCACATATATGGTAGGAAGGTTATACGGCGTAAGGATCACAGGCCATAAAAAATATTGCCTACCAGACATACCAAATGGACTAAATCTGTCAATGCAAAGACCAATATAAACATTTCGCTTAGATCTAGCAAAGTCTGGATGTACGGTGTTAAAATGTTTCCAAGATTTTCCGTCAGAAGGGTGAATCATTTTGCCATCTGTTTGTGAATGTTCTGCATGTCATCTCATCGATGCAGTTGTCCGTTCAGATTGATATAGTCTTTCTAACCTATCAGTTATAGGAAGATACCACATTCATTGGTACATAATCTTCTTACGCCCTGCAATTTGCGGTCTATATCTTGGCTTTTGGCAGAAACGACATTCTTGAAGTTTTTCATCATCTCTCAAAAAAAGCATACAATTATCAACACATATATCAATCATCTCAGAAGGCAATCCAAGACTAAAAACCAACTTCTAAATTTCATAATACATTTCAGCAGGCAAATTATCATCTAGCAAATACTATTTAATAAGATCTGCCCAATCGTTCATGCAAACTTCAGATAGATTGTGATCAGTTTTTATTGTTATCATCCGAGCTGCTAATGATAATTTAGATAAACATTCTCTACATCCCTCATAAAGAGGCTGTTTTGCTGTGTTTAACATATCATAAAAGCGTTTCTCATCTGCATTGGGCTCCTCAATAATATCAGCATGTGTTTCATGAAATGCATCAGTAACCATATCATGCATCTTATCCTGATCTTCACCCTGAACTTGACTACTTTGATAATCATTTGACGCTTCAAAATCTCCAAGTTCTTGATGATTACTACTACTCCGTGCAGCCATCCGACCACTACTTTGAGCATATCCCTCTCCATGCTGATACCAAATAAAGTATTGCGGCATGAACCCTCTATTCAATAATACTTCCAGATAGTGTTAATAGGAATATGTTTCCTATTTTTGCATTTCAGACAAGGACAATACATTTTGCCGCTTTCAATTACAGTTTGCATAAGGCCGGCCTGGTACATGAATATTTCAAATCTGTTTTTGAAGTCTTCAGTCAACGACCCCTCAGCATCTTTGGGCGTATACATCCACTTTCGTAGATCTTATATAGACATTTAAAAAACAAAAAAAAATTAACTTTTTGATTTTTTCACTTCGATGTAAATTTCAACAACTAAAATTATACTAAAACATTCAAAACTCAAAAAATTGTGTCTTTGTATGTTTTTGTTGTTTGGTAGAATAATGAGAGAAGAGAGGGGGTATATATAGA